TCTCCTCTGCGCACTCAATCTCCAGTCATCCTCGCCCGCAAACTTATTATACAGCGGCTGAATCCTCTCGGCCTGCTTCCTCTTGCTCAGTCTGTCGCTCGGCGCGACCTTGAAAAAGGTAGGCGCCGCCTCCACCAGCCACTTGGGCTCAATGGACGACGTACAATGCATGTACTCCTTGGTGGTCAAGACGAGATCGTGGTAAATCACCCACTCGGCCTGCTTGCCAAACAGCGCCGAGCTGGGGTGCAAATACACGGGCGTCCCCTCTGTAAGAGTCTTGTATCCCTCCTGGGGGTCCTTGCGCGCTGCGTTGCGGAAGAACCCCGAGCACATGGCGCGACGGACTTTATCCGTGTTGCGACCGCACGACACAATGGGGTGCTTGTAGCGTTCCATGATTTTGACAAGCTGGTCTCGGACGTCCTTGGCGCGACGCATGGAGCGCGCCTGGATGAAGTTTTCAAAGCACCACGGATTGGAGTAGCCGTTTTGTTTCCATGAGTTGTAAACGTTGAGGAGGGTGAGGTGGTCGCCGTGAGGGTCGTGAAACTTGGCCTTTTTCTGGTCGGCCTGTGTTTGTTTTTCCTTGGGCCGATAGAATACTGCGCCTTGGAGGGAGAGCATTGCAATGATGCTGAGAGCTTCCTCAGAGCACTGGTGGTCCACGGCCGAGAGGAGCACCTTGGCAGAGGCAGGGTCCATGGGGAAGTCAGCCATTTTGCGACCCAGGCGCGTCAGGAGACCTTCGTCGTCAAGGGCACTGAGTGCGTAGAGCTCTTCCAGTGCCGTCAGCATGGTGTTTACGGGCGGAGGGTCCATGAAGTCAAAGTGGAGGAGGTCGTTGATGCCCATGGCCTTCAGCATGAGAATAGTGTGTGAGAGGTTCTGCCGCTGGATTTCGGGGATGGTCGTGGGCAACATTTCAGACTGGTATGCTGCTTCGGTGTATAGTCTGAAGCACTTTCCGGGACCCGTTCGGCCGGCTCGACCAGCTCTCTGATTTGCTTGGGCTTGGGATACGGGTGTGACGACCAGAGAATCCATGCCTAATTTGGGGTCGTAGGCGCTTTGCTTGACGAATCCAGGGTCAATAACGTAGTAAATCTCATCAATCGTAATAGACGTCTCGGCAATATTCGTGGCAATGACGACTTTTCGAGCCCCCGGCGGCGCGGGATCAAAGATCTTGCTCTGCATCTCAGCGGGCAGGCTGGCATAGACCGGCAGAATTAGAAGCTCTGGAACCGACGGTCCAAGAGCCTTCATCCGCTCATACAAGATCTCGCAGGCCGTGTCAATTTCCTCTTTTCCTGTCAGGAACAGTAGAATATCGCCCTTTGGCTCAGTCAAGTGGATCTGCATGACTGTCACCAAGGCCGCATCCAGATAGTCAGATTCGGGCTCCCTCGAGTAGAGAATCTCTACCGGAAAGGTTCGACCAGGAATCGTAAAGATTGGACATTCATGAAAGTATGACGAGAACTTGTCCGCATCAAGAGTTGCCGAGGTGACGATAATTTTGAGGTCTGGCCGGCGCACTGCAGCCTTCTTAAGCAAGGCGAAAAGTACATCGGTTGCAATTGTACGCTCATGCGCCTCGTCCAACATGATGCACGAGTATCTCTTCAGGTCCGAGTCCATCAAGATTTCTCGCTGCAACATACCATCCGTCATGTACTTGATTCTTGTCGACGGGCTGGTACAGTCGTCGAATCGAACCAGGTAGCCAACTTCCTCCCCCATCTTGCAGCCGACTTCTTCGGCAACGCGCTTTGCAACCGACATGGCCGCGACTCTTCGGGGTTGTGTACAGCCAATGATGCCCTTGTCCGCAAAGCCTGCCTCTGCCAGGTACTGAGTGAGCTGAGTGGTCTTTCCCGAGCCAGTCTCACCCACGACAATGAGAATCTGGTTCTCTTGCACAGCTTCGATGAATTGGCTGCGGAAGGCGTACACAGGCAGGGACTCTCGCTGCTCCTTGATGCTGAGATTGGTTCGCTTGCCTAGAGACTGGCCCTTGGGGATGACGGCCTTCTTCCACTCCGGAACATCTTCTGACTCGGCTTGCATCCTTGCGTTCCTCAAGTCACTAGCAAACGTCCGTCTGTCAGGGTCGGCCATGGGGTCCTGCCACTGTGATGAGAGATTCTGGTTGGATTGCTTCTCCTTGGCGGCGGCATCTGCTTCTTGCTGCTTCAGCTCCTTTCGTTCCTTGGCAATGGAGGTGCCAGACATGGCGGCGCGGTTCATCGAGCCATCAGGCGCCTTGACGACGCGGATGGGAGACAGCTCCAGAGACTGTTTGGTCTGGCCAACCAGAAATGGCGGCTCTTCTTCACGAACTTCGATGTCCACGTCTTCTTCCAATGCCATCTCTCCATCGCCTTGGAGGGTAGCATTGTAGTCTTCTTCCAAATCCGGGTAATCGGAAGCTTTAGCAACTCCCGACGCAATGAGTTGCCTAATTTCCCATCTTTCAGGGGACGTCATGCGCTTCTTATGCCGTCTAGGTGGACCAAGTGCATCTCGTGGCATGGCCGATGTGTCGTTGACAAAGCCATTCTTAACACCACCTCCAAGAGCCTCCATATTGGCTCCTGTTGTCAAACGCGCTTGCGGTTCTAAATCCATTCCAGTCTCTTGGTCCACATCCTTCATGGATAATCCGATTCTATTTCCTTCAATGCTCGTGACCTTGACCCACACATCCTGACCCTTGGATAATAGATCGGAAGGGTGGTTCACCCGTTGTCCCGCGATTATTCTCGAGATGTGCACGAGACCATCTACCTTTCCTCGGACGTGGTGTATATTGACAAATGCGCCAAAGTCCCTAACACCAGTCACGTGTCCTTGGTAAACCTTGTTCAACTTTGGCGCATCGTCAATTTCAGGGTACGGCGCTTTACGGAACCGGTCATCGCTTTCGTCTTCGTCGTATCTTCTTCGACCCCGTCTGTCTTTGCGCGAATCTTTGAACCCGTCTCTCCAGTCTTCGTCGCCTCTGTCTTGTGACTTGGATCGTGACCTTAATCGCTCTCTTGCGCGTCGGTCGCGCGAGCGTGATCTGTCCCGCCGTCTCCTCCGTGACTCCTTGCCATCGTACTCGGGGCTTCTGCTGCGCTTTCTCGACACCTTTTCTTTTTTCGCTTTGCCTTCTAAACCCTCTAGCAACGCAAGGGTATCATCTATCGCATCCGCGCCACTATCATATTCGACCGCTTTGTCTGCCAGTGCGAGACCACTAAAGACCTTTTCTTTCTCCTCGAGTGTTCGAGAGTGGTGTTCCTCTCCGTTAATTTGATCGCCTTTACCTTTGAACTTGGGGTGCATAGCGAGCACTAGGCGATCCAAACTGTCCACCAGACTGGGCGGAAAATCCGCACCGATCTTGTCGAGTCTCTTGCGGAAGTCATCGGTGCTGGAGCTTTCGAGGCGTTGCGAGATGAGAAACTCGGCAAGGGTCTTGTCGCTGATGCCGATATGGTTCTGTAGTTCGGATGTGACCTTTGATACGAGCGATAGTAGCTCGAGGTTCAGCAGGTCATCCATGGCAGGTGAAGGATGTTGTCCTGCGCCAACATTTGAATGGGACAAGTTTGGAAGTCGAGAGTGAGTCGCGACCAAAAAAAAAAAGTGTTGGAGCCTCCAGTGACAGCGCCGGATAAAAGCCGGAGATCTGGCTAGGTGGCGTTCTGTAACCCTAACCCTGTAGTTCAACCAAACACCACCCAGTAGTGTCCTACAGCTTTAGAGTTTGCAGGTTTGCAGTGTACAATGTCCTGGTACTGTGACGTTTTGTCCCCTTCAGAGTTCCTTTCAGAGATTCATGCAGTTCGTTTTCGGTTCAGCGGATATTTACAGGGATCGTACTGTGGTGGGAAAATATCAGGGAAGTGCAACGTTTGGCGCAGGCAAAGGATGCTGCAGCGTGGGGTATTGTTTTGGCGTTTCTGACGGATGAGCCGTCAAGGGTGGGTTCTAACAGATCCGACATGTTCTAGCGGTGACTAAGATGAAGATGATGGAGTAGGCCCAGTGTTCTTGTCCTGCTGCCGGGACGACTAGAGTGTTGGAGCGGAAGAAGGATCGGCAGATGCAGCTGTTTCCAAAGGTTGGGCATGGATATGCATGTCATGAGAACATTGAGGTTCCCTATGAACGTAAGCCCGGGTGTGCTATCGCTTTGAGTGTATATACTCCCACTTTTCTCTAATACTTGCTAAGTACATCTTTCATAATAGGGTAGCCTCTTATATGCTTATAACCTTAATTGGGTAACATTCTTGGTCGTTACCAAAATGGCACCTGCGCACACTCCAAAGGGATTGCTTGCATTGGAACTCTAAGCTAATCTTGGTTTTTTTTTTTGTTTTTTTTTTTGGATCAGGTTATGCCAAGGAGGCAAGTTTCGGTGCCATAGTGGATTGGCTCAACATTTGGCTGTCGCAGTAACACATACTATACGGAGTACATTGAACTATTACGTATCCGGGGCTGGCGCATCGATGGAAAAAGAAGAAAGAAAAAAAAAAAAAAAGGGTAATGAGAAAACAAACTCACCGTCGTTCTTCAAGCACGCGTCCAACCCACGGCAACGTCATCCTCGCATGCGCTGAAAGAATGGCTGCCTACCTAAGTACTCAATGTACTGTACCATCCGCCATGCAGCTCATCCGTGGGTCATGCGGGATTCTGCCCGTGTCATCCAATCAAACAGCGTGCCCGCCACCTGTGCACACGCAAGCCCACTGCATTGTCCCTCCTTGCAGCAACAAGCCCGAACACTGGGAGCCGTTTTCGAGGCCCGTGACGTTTTTGGCTACCCGCCGTATAAGCTGCGTCCCACCTTTTGTTGTCGTCACCACCCGATCTCACCTGATATTTTCAACTCAACCTCTCCCGATCCAACCCTACTTGCGCTCTGTATCCCACGACTACTTCGAACCATCACAGAATCCAGTTTCCAGATATTGAATTGTCGATATTGTGTGACAATGTGCTCCGCAGACATCTTTCTCGGCTTGTTGGCCATCCTTTTCCCTCCACTACCTGGTACGTCCACCATTGTCCGCCCCAAGCCTTGTCTTCCGTCCGACGCACCCGCGCCGTAGCCCAACTCTGTGGCGATGTGAATCGTTAACATCTAAACTCGATAGTCTGGGTGAAATGCGGCATCTGCAGCGCCGACTCCCTCATCAACATCCTCCTCTGCTGCCTCGGCTTGATCCCCGGCCTCTTCCACGCATGGTACATCATCGCCAAGTACCCCGAGCCGGCATACGAGTATGAGTCACTACCCCAAGAAGGCGGCCGCGTCACATATGTCTACGTTCAGACTCCGCATGGACCTCATTGCCGACCGCCCGCTCCGAATGGGGGTATGAACTACGGAACGCAGCAGAGCGGGAGTAACAGAAACCAACAGCAGCAGCAGCAGCCGCACCCACAAGGTTCGCAACAGTCCCAGGCCCAGACCGGTGCCGCTTCTGCGGAGGGCGCTTCGAGTCAGCACGGTGGTGTGCCGCCCAGTTATGCAGAGGTTGTTGCTGGTGACCACAAGGTTCAGACCCAAGATTAAGACGTGGCCCTCTTTCAGAGACAGGAGTTCAAGAGCTCGGGTGTGGAAGGAGACTGGTAATTGGTGTTGTAGTTTAACAAACGTTTTCATGAGCTAGTCTACGATTCGAAACGGTGCCGGTAATTTCGGGAGCTCATTGGGAAGTCTTATTGAACCATTCGCTTTGACTGCTTATGGAGTACTGGGTCTGATCATGTCTGTATATTCTTGGTTTTAATAGCGTACCAGCCGTTGTTCTACTTATTTCTCAGGAACGCCGGTGAACTGTTATCCGAATCTCCTTATCGCCTTCCCGATATGCCTCAAAATGGCTCCTCTGAGCCGTTGTCTGTGCTCTCCGCAACCTGATTACTTCCCTTACTCAGCAGACTGCCCTTCTTCCGCCCCTGGATCATGCACTGACGGTGCTGGTCGATCATCATCTCGGGGTTGTTTGTAATGCCTCATCATTTGCTGAGGCAAAAACGTATAGAAAGATGGCACAATCCGGCGTATAGTCTTGATAAAGCGGATCCCAGTATTCAACTCGACGAGGGTGATGTCCATCTTCATCTTGGGCACAACATTTGCGAGAAGCGAATATTCGAGGTAGACCCATATATTGGCGTCCTGGGGCGGGATATGCATGCTTGGTGTCTCCCATTCATCCTCGATGATTGCGGGTTTGAAAAAGACTTTGCCCACGGGTTCAATGTCATAGTCACTGCCTTCAATTAGAAGAGCAGCAAACTTGTTAAAGTGAGTGAGGAGGGTCGTTCAACACTAGTAACTTCTAGGGTGTAGGTGCACTCTTTGGACGCCTCAACGCGGTCCTGATAGAACTGATCCAGGGTGAAGGCCTCGTCGCACAATGCGCAGACAGCAAGAAACACCGTCTTGGGATCAAAACCAGCAGGCCGGGAGAATGAAAGAAATGACCAATCTCCGACCGCCGCGGAGGAGAACAACTCCGTAGCAGCCAGGTTGAAGCACCCAGGCAAATCAGCAGTGAGCTTATTCAGAGCCGGCCACTCTTGTCGCGCTTGATTGCAAACTTGCAAAGCGGACTCAATGTTGTCTTTGTACTCTGGACAGACTTCGTGAAGGAGGACGTATCGCAGAAAGTTCTCCACGAGGCCAATAAGAGACACAGTCTTGTTCGGCGCGAAGCCGGTTAATTGGCCTAGCGATGTAGAAAATAGGCCGGCTGCCACACTAGCAAAATCGACAGACCAGTGCTCGTCGTCGCCATTGTAGAACCGATCGTCAGCTCCGCAGGCTCCATTCACCGTGTCGGTAACTGTCGCCTCGCGGCGCTGTGCGGGCGTGAGGTCTTCCAAGTCACTGGTATCACGTCCAGAGAAAGCATTGCAATTGGTGTCAATACCGCCAAGGAAGAGATATTCGTCGAAATAACGAATTTGGTCTCCCTGAAGGCGTCGCCGTGCCCGGAATCGCCGAATACAAGACTGAATGCGTCTATTTTGTCTTTATTAATATAATGAGCACCACTGTGTGAATGGAGGAACGTACTCTTCGAATGGAAGACAACTAAGGAAGCATTCGTAAGCGTCTGGTTAGCAAATCGAAATCCATATAACTACTTTGGTAATATGAACCCATACGTACTCGGCGTATATTTCGAGCTTTTCTTCAGCTGCTTCGTCTGGAGTCATTGGCGGATCGGCAAAGTACTCTGACGAGTGGTTAATCTTCTGTCGAGACGAAGCGAGAAGAAGCCATCAGACTATGATGTACCTTCAAAACCTGTTCCACGATTCCGTGGCAATGCAGTTGGACCTCGCTGGGCGGTAGACTTTATGCCTCTGGACTTCCCCTTCTTCTTCTTCTTCATTGACGCCGCTTGGGGACCAGGGTTGATTGAAGTTGTTTCGTCTTGATCGTGAAGCCGCCGACTGTCGAAATTCTCTCCATTATCGTGACTATTTGTTTGGTGAGTCGTAGCGGTGACATCACTGATCAGACCCCCTTCATCAACCTGAGGCGACATGTTGTCAAGAAATCTCGGGAGTTTTTTGGGCAACAATCACCCACAGAGGATCAAGATGAAGAGGAAATGAATTAGCACGTCGGAAATTTTAAAGACCAACGTAATAATTGCCAGCTGTTGCCAGCTATTACCAGCTGTTACCAGACCGTTCCAACTGGCGGCAAGAGGAATAAACGGTAAAGCTGCGCACAAGGCGTCCGCTCGGCAAGGTTTAACGACACTCAAGGCACATTCTACCCTTATTGTGACATTTTTAAGCACTTACTACAGGAATTGACTGATGGGCTTGAATCAACCAAAGGTTTCTGACTCTACTACCTATCGCGATGAGGAAGTCCCTGGTGGAAAGAAGACGGGCAGCACAGTCATCTACAGCCGCAGTGTAAGCGCCCTGGTCTGTCAGCACAAGTTCACGACGTCGGAGCAACCACCACATCTATCCAAGCCCTCCTCCATGCATATGGTCACAAGCTCCAAAGTTCAAATCGAATGTTACCGAAAATTTGCGCACCGTGTCTTTGACGCTTTGGCCAACCGAGCAGTCGCGGTCACACCACATTGCGTCCCACGTTGTGCGTGCCTGTTGCTCGCCCAAATGCCCAATGTGCACTGCACACGCGTTCATCGGTGCACAAAGATGATTTACAGAAGCTGTTGAAGGGCTTACATCCTAGCCTGACAATAAGAGCACGGACGATCATCTGCATCGGCTGATGTCGTGACTCCGGTGGCTGATATGGTTGGCCGAAGGGCAATAGACGAGCTTGTCAGATATCTCGAAAGGGAAGTGCTGGTGACATGGCGTTTGAGGGCTGGATTTGTCGTTCGCCTGCCTGCCTACCTAGGTACCTACCTACTCACCGGTTGTTTACATATCTTCACTCTCTGGTTTGGATTGTTTATACGGAACAGGTTCAGACCAGGCAGTCCGGTAGAGCACCACGGTCGTCCATGTTGGCAGGCCTTTTGTCAGATTGCATACGTAGTTGACACAATATGACGAAGACTGGACAGTTGCGTCCGCCACGTTGAGCTCGACCTGAAGTAGAAAAACCTCGACTACGCACAGGTCAGCTACTAGGCATCGCGAGCACAAGCCCGCACCAGGCATTCGCAGTATTGGGTAAGGACACGAAGAGATGCGCTGCGACCCCCCGCTGTTCTAGATGGTTATAGACGCCTCATGCAGCCGCAATGAATGCCACTTGTATGAGCGAGGGCCCAGTCTTGAAAAGAGACACGAGACATACCTAGGTACATACATACCCACAATCAAGATTCAAGTCTGCCTTGCAGCAATCACACCGTGGTGAGTGGCACTCACTGGCACCAACCAACTCAGCCTCCGTAACACAGGCAATCTGGAAGCTGACGGGGATCAAGTGATTGGACACCACGGACGGTGCCGGCGCGTGGCTCGGCCGACTGCGAATGCCAATGCTGAGCGCCCCATGATGGACGGCACAAGAATAACTCCATACTCCTCACGTTTGTCCTGGCGCAGAGAAGTAGCAAATAGAGACGTGGCCGACTGCAGGCCGACCTGAGTCTGTTCAATCGAGGACCCGGGACGCCTGCTGGGCTGTGCTTGGCCAATGGTCGGCTCAGCGCATTGTGTGCAATCAAACATTGAACCCAGCGACTGGAATGAGAAGCGCCATGGTAACCTCCGTGCCGTGGTCAGCATGGGTCTTCAAAACCTCTCTGCTGCTGCCCGAAACCGAAACATTGAACCGCAAACATTCGCACTCGCAGAATCAGTGACGTCGGCAGAGTGTCCCCGCGCCCTAGCTGATCGAATCAGCACTCAGCCCGTGCCGTCGCTAAACCATGTTCAGCTAGTGTCTTTGCACCGTGGGGCTGTTTTCTCGCTTGTGAGGTCCACCTTGCTGGAACGTCTGGATGCTTACGGAAGTACTACTCCGTACAGAGTACTCCGTAGGCAGTGAAAATTTGGTCTTTCGGCCATGTTGTGTCACCATTGTCCGTAGAAAGTACATGGAAAAAATCCGTCCACTGAGGCCGTGTAGCAGCAACATTAGAGTAGAACAGAATGTGAAGCCATGTCGGACGTAGCGCAGGTGCTCTGGACCTGCGTAGTAGTGAGGACGGTGAAGTCTGGTCTGGGAGTAGCTCTAGAGGTCCACAGCCCCAGCCTCTGACCTGCTGCCAAGGTCAGCGTCGACAGCCCCTGTCCCCCTCCCGTGTCATGTCTCTAGACCTGGCATCTGGCACTTGGCACTTGGCCCATCCGCGCTGTCTCGCACTGCCTGAGTCGAAGCCTAACGGTTTTGTGGCTGCGTCTTGCCTTGTACTAGTCCTGCGCTGATCCTTTTTTTTTCCTTTCACATTCTTCCACTTGGTGACTCTCGCAGGATGAACTGAACAGGGCAAGTACTAATGGCGTTCCTCTCTGCCTCACGGCGCAACTCTCGACATATAAAGACCTCGATTCTGGAACGCCATTTCCCCCGGTCCCTGCCAAGTCATCGGCTTCGTTCGAGATACGGAGGACTCAACGACGACATTCCCCTCTCAGGCAAGCATCGTCAAGGACCATCCTCTTGACTTCAGAGTACACTTGCGGGTGCTTCACCCGCCTATGAGACGACTTTACCACCTTGGGAGACCTCCTTTGGACCGCTGCGCGTCTCGCTCACTCTTGTGCGTTTTGCATCTTTCCAGTAGCGCAATATACAACTCAACCACGACATAACTCTGTCGTATCGTCGCGTCGAGATCATACTCATACCCCCAGATAGTGTTGTCTGCCTCGCCCTCTGGGCTGGGCGGCTATTATATCAAAGATGCGGCCAGCCAGAGATCTCCCCCGCCTTGACCAACTTCAAGACTATAGCCATGCTGTGGCTGGACAGTGAGTAATTTCGATGGTCTTGCAGCCTTGATCCCCCTAGCTTATATATAGTGGCATCGCAATTCAATTTGCGACCGCCGACCTTGGGTGCGTTACTGACCTCGCCTTGTCGCAGCGCTGGGACCTTGTGCGACCCCGACGGCCAAGTTTTTGTCAAGCCCTGCACTCAGGCTGAAATCGACTTCTATGAAGTGACCAAGTCGGAATATCCCGATTTTGCCGATCTTATACCTTTGCACTATGGCAATCTATTGTTGAATGGGCCCGGCGAGGTAGACATCGGGGACATTGGGGATGGCTTACAAACGGATCCCGAACAAGTCCTTGCCACAATCCAAGAACAAGTCGCCAATGCCGCTCGAGAATCCCAAACTGAGGAAACCATAACGTGGGTGCCTTCTCAAGGAAAGAAGATTCAGACAAACATGTCGGTCGTGCTTGAGAACCAGACCAATGGTTTCAAGAGGCCTAATATTCTCGACGTCAAATTGGGAACCCGTCTGTACGCAGACGACGCGCCCAAGCAAAAACAGGAGCGATTTCAACAGATTAGTAAAGAGACGACACATCACAATCTTGGTTTCCGCATCGCCGGCATGCGTGTTTTCCGCGGGTCTCAAGATCCTTCCGAATTGGATGATAAGGAGTACAAGAACTACGACAAAGACTATGGGCGATTCATCGTGAACGATGACAATGTGGTCAATGAACTGAGACGATTCGTCTTCAACGAAGCTGCGGGTATTGACGAGGACTTGGGCAGGGCCGTCTGTGCGACTTTTGCTAGAGAGCTCCGTACAGTAATCGATGTCATGTCTGATCATCATATCCGCACGTACTCGTCGTCACTTCTGTTTGTGTATGAAGGCGATGGTGAGGCGCTCAGAGACGCCATTCGACTCAACGCGGAATATGCAAAACGCTCGACCGGTCCTCCAGCTACCAAGCGAATTGATAGTGGCATTGGCTTGGACGACGAGGATCAGGCTTTGGAGCAGTTGCCACCGCCAGTACTCAAGCTCAAGCTCATCGATTTCGCCCACGCTACATGGACGCCTGGATTAGGCCCAGACGAAAATACTATTAAGGGAGTGAGCAGCTTGGAGGGGTTCTTCAAGCAAATGGCGGAATGAGCCGATGTTGCTCTTCCCACTTATGACGTTTTGATTCTTAATGCGAGAGCGATGAACGGATACGCAAAACAGAAACTAAAGAGCTAAAGGCCCCATCACCGCGAGTTATGAATAACAGCAGTTCAGGGCAAGAGTTTTTCAAGGGAGCTCTGCCGATGGAGGACAGCATACTTGTACCATTACACAGTAGAGTGTATTAGAAACAGCTGGACATGGAGGCTTGGCGAGATCTAGGTCTACTGCGTGAAGTAGCCTGTGGGGTTCATTTGGTGTTGGACGTGTGTTTGGTAAATGGGTATAAACCAGCTTATGACGTAGCGCATCACCGGAGATTTAGATACTCCAAGGACAAACAAGAAGTAATAATTCTGAATACCACTTTGAATAATTTTAGTAATGTGACGAAATAACTCTAATAATACTGCCCGCGCAGGAAATCGAATGCGCACTTGGAAGGGCTGGTGATTGTATATTGGTGTCCTGACTGCGCCCCACATCGAATTCGACGCCACCTCGTCCAAAGCTGCAAGCTTCCAGACAAACGTCCGTAAACCTTGACACTTTTTGCTCCCCACGTCGCCAGGAGTGCTTCTTGGTCTCGTCCATGTAGCATGTCAATTCCAGGCTTGGGTCAGATTCTGGTGCAGGTAGTATTTCCCCACGTCGCAAATCACTTAGCATTGCCATCAGCCTTCCGCGCGACACATGACTGACAAAGCCAGCTTCCTTAGACCGTCCACTCTTCGACCCGCATCATCGTCCTCAAACCATCCTGGGAATGGCGTTTCGAAGTACCTGCAGGCCGCACCATCACTGTCAAGGTCCTCTCTGGCACCGCCGAAAAGGACGGGGTTGAACTTGCTCTGCGGAATGCCTACTCCTTCAGTGGGATAAAATCCAAAATTCTGACATGGCACGGATGCGAGCTCGAAGTCGATGGACGGACTGACGACGAGTTCGTGGCGGAATATGCTTCGCCCGCGGCGAACCCG